TGCACCTTTTTTTCTTCTTTTGTAGATGCCACTATACCTTTGGTTTTGGGCTATAGTGTTAGAGGAATTAGTCATTTTATGCCTTTACAAATCGAATGTATATCTCTCTGAATTTTATCTAAAGATAAGCAGTTGATTCTGATTTCAGTGTCAAAAAGGTACACATCACCGTATCAGAATATTCATGGATCTCTTATTGATAGCCTACAAAGGAGAAAAGGACCACGTTTCTGTGCCTAAGCCATAGTCACTGTTAAGCTTTTTCCTTGAGGGGATAAGGTTGAAAAATGTCTTATTCACATACTTTTTTAATCTTTTGTAAATTTTCTGTAATCCCACTTATACATACAGAAAGTGGGTAAAAGTTTACTTTTTTTGACTAATGACCAAACCCCCTCTAGCTACATTCTTCAAAACATTCACCACTGTGTCAGTTAATTTCTAAAATTTGACCATGCCACTCCCTCGCTTAAAATCTTTTAATTTTTTTTTTCTATATCCCTCAAGATGGCATGATGTACAAAGCCATCCATAATCAGGCTTCTTACCTTTATAGCCTCTTTTTACACATATACACGTCCAGATTCCAGCCACAGTAAACAGCTTGTAGATCTCTAAGAATTAAGCCTTTGCACCTAATTTGTACACTCTGTTCTATCTGCCTGAACCATTTTCCCCCTTGTACCCCCTGTTATCAGTATAACACTTACACACCCTTTAGTGTCTTTCGTGAGCCTTTCTGCCATGTCCCAAGATGCTCTTAGGTTCCTCCTTTGTGCTCTCATGATAACTCGGTGCTTTTTACCAGTAACATCTGTAGCCCTTTCCAGACTATATTAAAATTGTGTAGTTACTTACTTGTCTTTGTCACTTCCTAGATTGTAAGCTCTTTGAGAGCAGGACCTGTGTATTCACTCTGGTGTTCCCAGAGCCTTGTACGTACCTGGCCCAGAGGAAGTTTTCAATAAATATCTGTTTTATAAAACACTGAATAAATAACTATGGCACTAAATTTTTATGCTTGAAACATTAGTGATGCAGGGAAATAGTAGCATTTAAGATTTATTTTATTTTTTATTTTTTTATTTATTTTGTTTTTTGTGTGTGTGTGTGTGTGAGGAAGATCAGCTCTGAGCTAACACCCATGCCAGTCCTCCTCTGTTTGCTGAGGAAGACTGGTCCTGGGCTAACATCCGTGCCTGTCTTCCTCCACTTTATATGGGACGCTGCCACAGCATGGCCTGACAGGCGGTGCCTAGGTGCGCGCCCGGGATCCAGCAGGTGAGCGTGCCCACTTAACCACTACGCCATGGCGCCGGCTGCTAAGGTTTATTTTAAAAGTTTTTGGGAAGAAATGTTTTATGAGTCACCCATTATGTATTATTTATAAAGAACGTGCTATGGCCAGCCCCGTGGCTTAGCAGTTAAGTGCTTGCGCTCCGCTACTGGCGGCCCAGGTTCGGATCCCGGGCGCGCACCGACGCACCGCTTCTCTGGCCATGCTGAGGCCGCGTCCCACATACAGCAACTAGAAGGATGTGCAACTGTGACATACAACTATCTACTGGGGCTTTGGGGAAAAAAAAAAAAAAGGAGGAGGATTGACAATAGATGTTAGCTCAGAGCAGGTCTTCCTCAGCAAAAAGAGGAGGATTAGCATGGATGTTAGCTCAGGGCTGATCTTCCTCACACACACAAAAAATAATAATAAATAAATAAAGAACGTGCTAAAGAGCATGTTGTTTGCAAAGCGCAGTGCTATCTTAGAAAATGTAAAGGATGGGGCTGGCCCCATGGCATAGCAGTTAAGTGCACGCGTTCCACTACTGGCGGCCTGGGTTCGGATCCCAGGCACGCACTGACGTACCGCTTGTCCGGCCATGCTGAGGCAGCGTCCCACATACAGCAACTAAGAAGGAGGTGCAACTATCTACTGGGGCTTTGGGGAGAAAAAGGGAAAGAAAAAAAGGAGGAGGATTGGCAATAGATGTTAGCTCAGGGCCAGTCTTCCTCAGCAAAAAAGAGGAGGATTGGCCTGGGTGTTAGCTCAGAGCTGATCTTCCTAAAAAAAAAAAAAACAGAAAGAAAGTGTAAAGGAAATATAGCCCTTGTCATTAGAGACGTTACTAAAAAATTAACGTATGATGCAAGATGACGGCTATCCCATGGTTGAGTACAAAGTAAGTGGCATGAAAAACACTATAGTTTGGAATAATCTAAGACTTCACGTAGGAGATGAAACATGCAACTGAGTACTCCATGCCTTACTCTAATACTCGTAATCTTCTATTCATTACTCTCATTTAGGTGAGAAAACAGAGAGAGGTCAGGTAATTTGCTGAGCGTTACAGGGCTGTTAGAGCTTAGGTTAGACAAATCTGGCCTTTTTGCTCTGGAGTGGTATGATCATGAGACATGGAGTACACCACTCTAGTTGGAGTTGAGGATCTCTGGAGCAAGAGATAAAACTGGAAGGAAACTGAGGCAAAGTCACTAAAAGCTTTGAATTCCAGATTGTAAAATTTGGTGTTTATCCTGATAGCAGTAGAGAGCCAATATAATTTTGGAAAGAGTGACATGAACATTAGGATTTTGTTTTTTCAGTATCAGAGTGGCATCAGAAATGGCCCTCTGGGGCCGGCCCCGTGGCTTAGCCGTTAAGTACGAGCGCTCCGCTGCTGGCCACCCGGGGTTCGGATCCCAGGCGCACACCGACGCACCGCTTCTCCGGCCATACTGAGGCCGTGTCCCATATACAGCACCTAGAAGGATGTGCAGCTATGACATACAACTATCTACTGGGGCTTTGGGGGAAAAAATAAATAAATAAATAAAATTATTAAAAAAAAAAAAAGAAATGGCCCTCTGCCTTTTAGAAACTCCTTATTGATTGTATTAACTTAAAACTTAAAGTAACTTAAAAAGTTAAAATGAGCTGAAGTTAGGAGATGTCCAAGAATTATAGTATCAAGCAAAATTTATCTTTGGGACCAAAATATCCCACCCAATTCTTTAAGAATAGAATATACTCGTTAACATTAGCATTTATTAACATCTCAAAGGAAAATAGTATATTATTCCTTTTCAACAATGGGCTTAGCAGAGCCTTCGGGTTATACACATACACTGGTCTTTATTTGGATACCAAAATTAGCAACACTTTTTCTTATGCTTTATTTTTACATTTTAAAGTATTTTTTACTTTAGTGCTTTTTTATTATGGAAAATTTCAAGCATACACAAAAGTAGAGTGAATATTATATAATGAGCCGTCATGTAGCCATCACTTGGCCTCAACAATTATCAATATTCTGCTGTTATGCCAGATTTCTAGTGCTCAGACTTATTTTCTGCCTTTCCTGAGTTTCACTGCAACTAATGACATGTCTAAGCTTTAAAGAAGTGGGCTATACCTTTTTATCTTTTTATAACTACTGAGATGTTCCTAGATGCTAACTGTAGGAAAATCATACCTCTGCTTGAATTGGATCTGAAAGTTTTTCACATTTTTAGTCTAACACTCAGTTCCACTGTTTTCTATGGAGCTTCAGTGTTTGAGTAAAATTGGCCAACTTTAGTGAGGTAGAAATGTAATATGGTTGTTATGGTAATTGTGGCTTTTACCATCTAGGAAAGTATTTTGTTAAAATTAAAATCCAAATATTTAAGTACATGGCACTTAGCAATCAAATTATTATGTATGACCATTGAAAATTGTGAAGTATTTTTTTTCAATTACCCTGCTTTTGAAATAACAAAATTTTTTTCACGGTTTATCTTTCCAGGGATTTTTTTTTTTTTTTTTAGGGTATTGCATTCCCAATGTGAAAGTATATAATAAAATTGAGTAGTTTTTTCCCTTATAGCCTCTTGGTTTTATGTCCTATTACAAAAAGTCTTCTCCAACACCAAGATTATAAAATTATGCATCCATAGATTCTTCAAGTACTCTATAGTTTTATATTTTAATTTTAAAATAATAAAAAATTGGAGTAAACAGTATAGTGAGGATCCAACTTTACCTTTTTCCAAACACCATTTATTGAATAACTCATATTTTCTCCCTCTGATGTTGGATACTGCTGTAATCATAAGCTGATTTCTTTTTCTTTCTTTTTTTTTTTATGGTGAGGAAGATCAGCCCTGAGCTAACATCCATTGCCAATCCTCCTCTTTTTGGTGAGGAAGATTGGCTCTGGGCTAACATCTGTGCCCATCTTCCTCTACTTTATATGTGGGACGCCTGCCAGAGCATAGCTTGATAAGTGGTGTCTAGGTCCATGCCCTGGATCCAAACTGGCTAACCCAGGGCTGCCGAAGCAGAGCCGTGAACTTAACCACTACACCAGCAGGTCGGCCCCTATAAGCTCATTTCTCATATGTGTTTGTACTCTCCTTTGTGCTATGGCTTTCCTACATGGCTTCCTGAACCTGAATAGTAAATCGCACTCTAGTTGCCACTCAGTCTCTTCTCTCATTGATAACTCCACTGCCAGGCCCTTTCTCTGCTAGCCCCCTACTATGTACTGGCAGGAGTCACAGAGGCTAGCTAGGATGTCAGATACTTTGAATGCCTAAGAGAGAACCTAGAGGTTTTACTATGATAATCGTTGCCAAACCTTTCAATATATAAAGCTTTGATTAGGTAAATTGTAATACTTTCTTTCCAGTAGAGCTATTTGACAAACTGTTTGCTTTTCTGCTTCAAAATTATCTTATCCGTTAAATAATAAAGAATGTGGTCTGGAGCTAAAATGCCTGGGTTTGAATTCCTGCTCAGCTATTTACTAGCAGTGTGCCCTTGGAAAAACTTGCTAAAAATTGTTTCCACCTCATAGGATTATTGTGAGTATTAGATAAATACATGTAAAGTGTCTAGAGTAAGTGCTTGGCATGTTACTGAGCATTCGATAAATGTTGTTATTACTGTATCACATCACAGTACCTATGAAGATTAGATACTTAAATGCTGTTTCATATATATTTTGTTTGTTTTGAAGGGGACAATTCATCTCTTTCGAAAACCACAAAGATCTTTTTTTGGCAAGATATTACAGGAATTTAGACTTGTAGCAGCTGACCGAAGGGTAAGTTATTTTTATTCCTTAACCCTAATTTTAATTATTTCACAAACAACATTATAACATCAAAAAAGGTAATTTTTAAGGCAATTAGAAATCACTCTCAATCCCACAGCGCTGTTTTCATTTTTTTTGTGTTGGATAATGTTTTAATGTACAACTACAGTACTTTGGTATATAGTCGTTTTGCTTGGGAGGAAGCTGGGCTTCAGTTAAATTTTCTAATTCTAGATAGTTTTAAAGAAAAATTGTTTTGTGACTGCCTTATTTTTCTTTATTTTTTATTTTTATTTTTTGCTGAGGAAGATTCGCCCTGAGCTAACATCTGTGCCAGTCTTCCTATACTTTGTATGTGGGTCACTGCCACAGCATGGCTGCTGGTAAGTGGTGTAGGTCCACACCTGGGAACTGAACCCAGGCCACCGAAGTGGAGCGTGCCAAACTTAACCACCAGGCCACAGGGCTGGCCATATTTATTTATTTTTAATTAAATGGGTATAGTCTGAAGCCATATTTTCTTATTTTTAATGTAAGGCAGGAAAGTATGCTTTGAGACTGTAAAGCAAAAGATGTAATGGGTCCTCTTTTTGGTCACCAATGTAGACCTTCTAGTTATTGTTCTATTTTCATTGTTGTCACTATTGTCTTAAATATACCATAAGCTTCCTGAGGGCGGTGACTATGCTGTTTTGCTCACTTTTTTAATAAAAGTACAAAATAAGAACCCAATGCATATTTGATGAATTTTAAGTAAAGCTATCCTCAATGGAACATAATAAGCAGTACCAATGATATTGGCCATGTATTATGATACTAGACTAGAGGCTTCTTTTCTTTGTTCTTTACCACTATATTTTCTGTTTTTAAACCCTTGGAATATAGTCAGAATTCAATAATTCTAGTATTTGGACATATTATCATGCCCTGAATGTTAAACTTCAAGAGCCAAGGGGAAGGAATTCATCTGCTTCTTGTGTACCTAGTCCATTGAGAATGATCTCTTGAGAACAGAGAGATATACCTCTGTGATGTTGATGGAAAACAACTATATTGCAGAAGTAAACGGGAAATTCTTTAAACGGTACATTTTATTGAAGCACAGTATACCACAGAATAAGTAATAGGAACAAAACTAATTTAGGAACGCCTGAATTGTGCAAATAATCTCTATCATAATTTAAATCTTGAGAGGTATCGGCTCATCTCTCTTCAGTAGTACTCCTGTCTTGGTTCTTGATGATTTCATATTTCATGTGGAAGATCCTTTCCTCTCAGTTCCTTACTTCCAGCTCACCATAGATAAACTTGTCCTCCATCCCTCCCAGCTATCCACTCCTATGGTCATACCATAGGCCTCATCTTTTATAATAACTATATCCTCCCATTGTCTCAGTTTCAAGCATTTTACTCATCAGTCACCATCTCCTGTCTTTCCAGATTACTTCTTCTATTACCCCAACTCTAGTAATTCTTTAGTTTTACTAGGACCTCCAATCTGTTGACTCTGCCATATTTTCATTTCCCTTATCCTCATTTGCTTACTTAATCCAATATATATTCTGTGGCCATCATTATCATTTTCTTGCATATGCCTTCAACTCCTTTGTGCCCCCCTTCTGTCTACCATATTTCCTATCATACTTCCCTAGCAAATCCTTAACCTTATTAAGTCCACTTTCTTTCTTTGCCTACACCCAAGCAACTGAATGTAGCCTAAGAGAAACGCAAAACCATGCTGCCTGGTCTCACCTTAAATTCGTGATCAAGTGTGCCATTAGTGCTGCCCATCCTATAGTTTCTTAGCTCATTACGTTCCCTGCTTTCCTAGATGGCTATTTCATACCATTTTCTTTCACTTCTATCCTCAAGCTTTCAAAACCTTGTCCATTCTCACTGTAACCTGTTGATCTTGCTTCCTGTTTCACTAAGGGAAAAGAAGTAATGAGAAGAAAACTTCCACATCCTATCGTTAGTACATCTGCCAACGCTCTGCCTACCCTCTTATTTCTGTGAATGAACTATTTCGTCTGCTATATAAGGCCAGTCCCTCCACTTGTTGCCTACTCAAAGTCAACGTTCCTATAATTATTCCTTTTTGCATCATCCTCCTTCTGTTTCTTGTATCATAATTACATGCTGTATATGCCACTCTCATCTACTGCTTCATTTCTCTGCTTCGTTTTTTTTTTTTGTATGAGGAAGATCGGCCCTGGGCTAACATCTGCCAATCTTCTTTTTTTTGTTGTTTTTTTGCTGAGGAAGACTGGTCCTGGGCTAACATCTGTGCCCATCTTCCTCTACTTTATATGGGATGCCGCCACAGCATGGCTTGCCAAGCGATGCGTTGGTGTGCGCCTGGGATCCGAACCGACAAACCCCAGGCCGCTGCAGCGGAGCGTGCACACTTAACTGCTTGTGCCACTGGGCCAGCCCCTCTCTGCTTCCTTTTATAGCAAAACTACTTTCAAGAATTGTCTTTACTCTCTCTCTTTTTTTTTTTGTCAGGAAGATTTAGCCCTGAGCTAACATCTGTTACCAATCCTCCTCTTTTTTGCTGAGGAAGATTTGCCCTGGGCTAACATCCATGGCCATCTTGCTCCACTTTATATGTGGGACGCCTGCCACACCATGGCTTGATAAGTGGTACGTAGGTCTGCGTCCAGGATCTGAACCTGCAGTCCCTGGGCCACCAAAACAGAGAGTGCAAACTTAACCACTATGCCCCTGGGCCAGCCCCGTCTTTACTCTCTTTGCTCACTTTCTCTTCTCCGTTTCGTATTTTTTTTGTGTGTGTGAGGAAGATCAGCTCTGAGCTAACATCCAATGCCAATCCTCCTCTTTTTGCTGAGGAAGACTGCCCTGGGCTAACATTCGTGCCCATCTTCCTCTACTTTATATGGGATGCTGGCACAGCATGGCTTGACAAGCAGTGTGTTGGTGCGCACCAGGGATCCGAACCCGTGAACCCCGGGCTGCCACAGCAAAGTGCACAACTTAACCACTATGCCACTGGGCTGGCCCCTCTCCTCCGTTTCTTTATTAAACACATACTAGTCTGGCTCTAGTCCCCTATAATCCACAGAAACAGCTTTTACAAGGTAACTAATAACCTCTCTGTTGTCAAAATCGATGGTCATCCTCGATTTTCATCTTACTTGACCTTCAACAGTATTAGACAAAAATTGGTCACTTTCTCCTTAAAACACATTATTCATTTGGATTCTGAAATACCATTCTTGGTTTTCTTCCTGCTTATTTGCCAGTATTTTTTGGTCTACTTTGTCACTTTCCTTTCACCTTTCTGACCTCTAAGTTTTGGAGTGTCCTGAGGCTTAGAGCTCCAGCCTCTCTTGTTTATATTTATTACGTCTAGGTAACACTTTCACTACCATCTATATGCTGATGATCCTGTATTTATATATATATATTTTGTGTGTGTGTGTGTGTGAGGAAGATCAGCCCTGAGCTAACATCCATGCCAATCCTCCTCTTTTTGCTGAGGAAGACTGGCCCTGAGCTAACATCCGGGCCCATCTTCTTCCACTTTATATGGGACACCACCACAGCATGGCCTGACAAGCAGTGCGTTGGTGCACACCCAGGATCTGAACCTGGCTGCCAGCAGCAGAGCATGCACACTTAACCGCTACACCGCGGGGCCGGCCCCATCTGTATTTATATTTTAATCCCTAACTTTTCCCCGACCTCCAGATTCCTCTATATCATGGCCTTCTCAACATTTCCATTTGGATATCTAATAGCCATCTCAATTTTTTTTTTTTGTGAAGAAGATCAGCCCTGTGCTAACATCTGCCAATCCTCCTCTATTTGCTGAGGAAGACTGGCCCTGGGCTAACATCCGTGCCCATCTTCCTCCACTTTATATGGGACGCCGCCACAGCATGGCTTGCCAAGCGGTGTGTCAATGTGCACCTGGGATCCGAACTGGTGAACCCTGGGCCGCAGCGGCAGAGCGCCTGCGCTTAACCGCTTGCGCCCCTGGGCCAGCCCCTCCATTTTTTTTTTTTTTAAGCTCTCTTGAATCAGCTTGAAAACACATTCTTTTTTTTTTTTTTTTTTTTTTTTTGCTGGGAAAGATTCACCCTGAGCTAATATCTGTTACCAATCTTCCTCTGTTGTTTTTTTTCCCCCTCCTCAAAACCCCAGTGCATGTTTGTATATCCTAGTTGTAAGTCCTTCTAGTTCTTCTGTGTGAGCCACCGCCACAGCATGGCTACTGACAGATGAGTGATGTGATTCTGCGCCTGGGAACTGAACCTGGGTCACCACAGCGGAGCGCGCCCTCGACTTTAACCACTAGGCCATCAGAGCTGGCTCTGGCATCTCAAATTTCATACGGTCAAATGGAACTTTGATTTTCTATCACTTCTTCAGTAATCAGCCACTCTCTTCTTCCAGATGCTCTGGCCAGACACCTTGGAGTCATTCTTAGCCTTGTCTTTCCCTCCTCACGTCCATTTTGTAAGTAAATCTGGCTAGCTCTATCATCAATATAATACCAGAATCTGACTCTTCTAACACCTTCTTACCACCTTCAAAGCCATCATCATTTCCCACATAGGTTGTTGCGATCACATTCTAAATGATCTTCCTACTTCTGTCGTTGCCCCTATGTAGTATATTGTACATAGAGAGGGTGAATGGTCTTTTAAAAATGAAAGCTAAGTTACTTTTGTTTCATTTGGAATAAATCGCAATTCTAAATCACAGTTCTTTTCCTGGCGTACAAGACGCTACTTGATGTAGCCCCAGACTCCCTCTCCCCTCTCTCATCTAGCTGTCCTTAGCCAGGTACTCTTCTACCTCAGGTCATTTGCACTGTGGTCCCCATTTTCTCTCCCAGATATCTGCATGCTTAGCATCTTTGCCGCTTTCAGATTTCTGGTCACATGTCACCTTACCAAAGAGGTCTTTTCTGACCACCCTTTCTAGAAGAGTAACTCTTCCATATCTCCTATTACTGTGTTCTTATCATACTTTATTTTTTCTTCCTAGCACTTGTCACCACCTGACTTTATACAGTCATGCATCGCTTAATGACGGGGATACATTCTGAAAGATGCATCATTAGACGATTTCATCATTGTGTGAACATCATAGAGTGTACTTACACAAACCTAGATGGTATAGCCTGCTACACACTTAGCTGTATGGTACTAATTTTACGGGACCACCATTGCATATGTGGTCTGTCATTGACCGAAACGTTGTTATGCGGCACGTAACTGTGTTTGCATATTGTCTGTCACCATGGATTATAAGGTCCATGTTTTGTTCACTACTCTATCTCCAGTGCCTAGAATAGTATCCGTTACAAAATAGATGCTCAAAATTTTTTTGTTTTTTCCTGAGGAAGATTCGCCTTGAGCTAACATCTGTTGCCAATCTTCCTCTTTTTGCTTGAGGAAGATTCTCCCTGAGCTAACATCTGTGCCAACCTTCCTCTATTTTGTATGTGGGTCGTCGCCACCACATGACCGACAACAAGTGGTGTAGGTCTGTGCCCAGTAACTGACCTCGGCCACCCAAGTGGAGCACACTGAACTTAACCACTAGGCCACGGGGCCAGTCCTATCAAATATTTTTTGATGAATAATTTGATTCAGCAGTAGAGCTTTGGAGAGTGTCATTTTCAAATTACATGCTTTATCCTCTTTTTCTGACTATTCTTGAATCCCTGTCCTGACTAGACCCATGTCTAATCATTTCATTAATGTCCTCACTAGTATTAGAGTCCCTTGTCCCATATCAGCTCTCAAATCTCTAATATCCCTACCTCACCTGCTTCTCTGGTTTTGCTCCTGGTATAGAGGAAGTTCCAGAATGGTGTCTACCATAAATTCATGCTGGTAATTCTTGTTCCCTTCTTTGAGGATGCAGTAGTATACCCACCATAACAGCTCTTCTGCAGATGCAGATTTTCCTGTGGATTTAAGTTTCCAGTCTTACTTTACCATATCGCTTAATTTTAGAAAATGGCCTTGATTTTTCTTTTCTAGAGATTTATAGGCTATTAACTGTGCTACTTTACTTCTTTCTACCTGACAAATTCTCTGTCCCTTCAGTCACCTTCTTATTCTTCTCACCTTTCTCAAAGGTGTGGTTCTGTCTTTCTAAACCTACACCTCCATCTGTGTTCTAAAACCGTGCTATCCTGTACCACACTTGGCCTTTGCAATTATATCTGTTTAATTTTAACACCTCCAGATAACTAGAGTTTTCCTAATTTCTTTCACATCTACTTTCAAACAAGCATAGGTCTCCCTTCTTTGTAAGTAGTGGAGCAGAACAAAACTAAAACACACTTCACTTGATCCCTTCCTTCATTTTTAGAATGCTCTTCCTCCTTCCTCTGACTAAATCTTAGCTGTTCTCAAAGTGTATCCCAGGTCCTCCGTCTTCTATGAACGTCTAAACTATGATAATCTTTCCTTCTTTTGTAGTCCTATTTCATACGACTGGTTTGGTAAATAACCAAGTACTGCCTTTTGGGGGAGGGCAGCTTTATTCTGATATAATTTCAAACTTAGAGAAAAATTACCAAATTAGTATAAAAAACTCTCTCATACCCTTTACTCAGATTCACCAGTTGCTTTACATTTTGCCCCATTTGCTTTATCGTTGTCTCTCTATTCATATTTGTCAGACAAAATGATATTCAAATATACGTGTATTTTTTTCAACCATTTCAGAGTTCGTGTGTCAGACTTATTTTCTTTTGAATAATTCCCCTTCTAGAATTATTCTTTTAAATTTATATATTATCGTAATAACTTGGTTGATGATAATTGTGGTAGATTTAGAAGATGTGACACTTGACTTTTTGAAGGAAATTGCTTATTCCTTTAAATATCAGAGTATTGAGTATTACAGCAACTTGACCAGACCCAGTGAAATTTATCAGCACTATAAAAATAAGAATGATTTTCTTTTTCACAGTCCTGGAAGATATTGCTCTTTGGTGCAATAAACTTAACATGTACTGGCTTCCTGCTTATGTGGTGCAGTTCCACTAACAGTATAGGTATGTCACCATTCTTATTTTTATGAAGTTATTAGTTTCACTTTTATTGTTCTGATTTTAAATAAAGGTATATCTTCCTTTACATAGAATATATTATTCTGAAATATAACTCAAAAGGTTTAAATGAGAGAATCTATTTGAAAAGTGCCTTGTAAACTGTAAAGTTTGGTTGAATTGTTAGGCATTGTCATTTTAAATGACCTGTTATTTTTTTAAAAAACTTGAAATCTATGTGAAAAACTGAGATTCCTGTTTAATGTGATAGATTAATACTTTGATTTATGCAGAATATGAGTAAGATTTTGAGATTTATTAGATTTTCCTTGAAAAGGGAAATCTTTAATATTTTTCTTGTGTCTTGAGTGACCTCTTATATTTTTATGTACCATTATTTTCATCTTGCTATTTAAAGAATACATTTAAAATAGTACTCAGATGACAGAAGAAGGCAAAAAAAAAAAGATCACAAGGCTTTTGAGCATATGCTGCTTCATTTTTCTTGATGGAGAAATCAGATTCTAAAGTAAGCTTTTGTACTAACCAACTTTGGCTACATATATTAACCAAGTTTACTAGATAGTTGCCAGCAAATTAGGTTAATCAGTGACTCATAATTTTTTTTGGTAATGGATACCCTGATATGAACAATTTTGGTGATTCACTATATTTCCTAACAATGGATTCAGTAATATTTTAACAATCTTTTTGTTGTTTTGCAGCTTTAACTGCCTATACTTACCTGACCATTTTTGATCTTTTTAGGTAAGTTTTAAAAAATCTCCTTAATGTTTTGAGGCTGGTAAGTTATTTGTTGCCCCGAATATATGAAGTTTCTTTGCTTAAAAAGGAAAGTAATCTGTGAAATACGTAAAATTGTCGGCATAGAACATATACAAATAGTAACAATTAAAAGATATACCGGAAGAAAATATCCTATTTATATAACAACAGAAAAGATAATAGCTGGGCCTCAGGTCAAGTGTTTCAGGTGCCTGCCTGTAGATGAGTCAACTGTGGCCAGGGAACAGGGTCACATAAAAACACACCTGTTCCCACTCTAACCCTGTAGATGAGAAAAGAAATGAGGGACGTTAATAACTGAGAATGAGTAATTGTGAGCTAGGGAGACAACCTGATGGCTCCCTGCTTCACGGTGCCTTTCGTATTTCCATATTAGGGTTGCAATATACTTAGACCTTGATGTCCTCAATTTCCATGCCATGGAAGTATGTTATAAGGATGTCTTTTCATCAATCATGTAACTAAATCTACTTGATTGGTCTAAAACGAGTAGTTGTTACCTGCATTTCACACTGTAGTAAGTTGTTTCAGAGTGAATCTTCATTATACTTGGAAAATGGACATAATTTTATCCCATCCAGAATGTTGTCAAGGTGTTATTAATATTTAGTTTAACTTTGAACAAAGATTAAATAAAGTTTATCAATGTTAAAACTTATTGTATATGCCTAAAATAAAATATATTACTATTATTATTACTGTGCCATTTTTTGTATGCTCGGTTATGAAAACCATTCAGGGTGGATAAATTACTGAGTAGAGTAAGAATGGGTTTAGGTTCTATTTAACTAACTTAATGATGTATTGTAACCTCTTCCAGTTTCTCCACATGTTAAAACTTTCACATATTAGGATGCTCGTTGTGATTATATGATAAATTATTAATTTAATCACTTATTAATTTAGTAATTTAGCCAACTTAGGAATTCTGAAAGCTTAATTTCTTTCTGTGTGTTCTCCTGTAGCTCTAGTTCTAATGCTAAATTTATTTTCATTTTTACTTAGTTTAGTGACATGTTTAATAAGTTACTGGGTAATGATGAGGAAACCTAGCCCTGTCTATTCATTTGGGTAAGTTCAAATTATTTTATTTTATGCTAACTTACTGCTATTAAAATAGTAGTTATATTAAACAGTAAAGAACTAGCTAGAGTATTTCTGGAAAATAAATGCTGCCTACTCAGTGGAATGGTGATCAAATAGTGAAAGTAGATAGAACAGCATCTTCTAAAAGGAGTCTAGATAAGAAACATGAATATTTAAATTTAAATCATGTTAAATAAAATGTTTACATTAGGTTCTTTTCTGTTTTATAAAACAAACATTAATATAAAATGTTCACATTCAATTCTTTAATTTTGGTAATCTTTTTTTTAGTTAGAGAAAGGATTTTCATGGAAGAGTATCTTGTAGATGTTAAAGTAAATGTGATATATTTTAACATTAATGCAGTGGTAGAGATGTATTTTTATCTTAAGACTGGATCTGTGATAGCAGTAGACTAACAAAGAATTTGAGATTTCTGTTTCTATAGTTTTAGAATTCCTGAAAATTGGAAGTTGGAAGATAATCTTTTGTATTAGAGGTTTTTTAATATATTAGAAAAAAAATGAATTCCTTTCAGATTCAAGAAAACAACTTATAAGGAGAATTTAACTTTGGTAAAGAAATTCTTGGACCCAACTTACCCTTCTTCTCCACCATACCATTCATTGGGATTATATTCTTTTACACAAAATCAGGTTTTATTTACTTCAACAATGGGACAAAGTAAACATGAAATTTTAATGCACAATGAAGATATTTATAAGTGTCACTGAAATTTGATAGAGTTGAACTATTACTATGATCATCAGTTGTAAAGTATAGACATCTATATATGAAAATCTGTGACTGAGTCAAGGCTTTTGGTTGTAAATGACAGAAATCCAACTCAGACTGTGGGGAAAAAAAATGAAGACTGGTAATTTATGTAACCAGAATGTGGGAAGACTGAGGTAACTGGCATAGGGACTAGAACACTCAGGGCGTTGTCTTTTTCTTTCCTCTCAGGACTGTGTTTCTCTGCATGTCAGGTTTAGTTTCTCAGACCACTTTTCTCCACCATCCTGGAGTGATAACTTCTAGTAAGACCTTAACTTGAACCTTCTCACCTTCATCCTCGTGAGGAAAGGACTCTTTCCCAGCTCTAGTTCAGAAAATCGTGAGAAAGAACTATTGATTGGTCCAGCTTGGAGCAGATGTTAGTGTTGAGATCAGTTACTGTGTCCAGGAGACAAGGTCAAGTAAGGACATGACAGCTCCCATTTTGGCCCACTTGCTTCAAGTGAACAGGAAAGGAGGGAGCAATTAAAGAAAATTAAACATTCAAATATAATTGCAGTCAATCATATAGCTTGAAATATCATCTATATTTAGTAATTCCAAAATTCAGTTCTCTAGCCTTGAAATCTATTTAGGCTGCCTTCTTGACTGATTGACATGGATGTCTAATTGGTGTCTTAAATTTAGGCTAGAATTCTTGTTTTCTTCCCCCAAAACCTGTTCCTCTGCAGTTTTTCCCATCTCAGTAAGTACACCACCACTCGGTTGCTCAAGAAAAATCCTTGATTATTGTCTCATTACCCACATTTCTCTATCAGCAGATTATGTCAAGGTAACCTGCAAACACATCCAGAATCTGCTCCCATCCTCATTTCTATCTCTACTACCATCCTAACCAAGCTACCTTCATTTCTTGCCTTAACCAAGGTCCAGCATCCTAACGGGTCCCCATGCCTCTGTTCTTCCCCATCCATTCTCCATATAGCAGCCAGAGTGTTTTCCTTTTATAACCTAAATCATACTATCACTCTCCTCCTGAAAACCATCCAGTTGTTTTCTATCATATATAGAATAAAATCCTGACTCCTTTTCCTAATTCACAAAGTCCTTATGTGAGCTGGCCCGTGCCTGCTTCTCTTCGTTAACCAGTCTCATGCCCTCTATACCACACTGTCTTTCTTTCTGTAATTTGAACACAACTCTCACTTCTTCCCGCCATAGGGCCTTTACATCCTTGTGCAGTTTGATGAATTTTAAAAATGAATATACCTGTATAACTACCATCTTGAGATTTTAAAATCTTGAATTTTAAAAATGAATATACCTGTATAACTACTATCTTGACCATGATATAAAACATTACAAGTCCCCCAAAAGCCTCCCTTCATGTCAGAGTCAAACCTTGACGAAAGTAACCAGTATTCTGACTGCTCTCATTGCCGATTATTGCTGCCTGTTTTTTAAGTCATATAAATGGGATTACAGCATATACTCTTATATACCAGTAGTTCATTCTTGTTCATTGTCCTAATATTCCGTTAGGAATATACCACAATTTGTTTGTATGTTAAACTATTGAAAGGCATTTAGGTGATTTTCAGCTGTTAGCTATAATAAATAAAACTAGTTATGAGCATTCTTGTATATGTCTTTTGGTGTACAAGACTTTATGTTGGGTATATGTCTTTGAGTGAAATTAGTCGTAGGATTTGCATGTGTTCATCATTAGAAGATAAGATAATACCAAGCAGTTTTTCAGAGTGATTTTACTAGTTTACACTCCCAGTGGCAGGATGTGAGAGTTCTAGCTGCTTCATATCCTTACCAACAGTTAGTATTGTCTTTTTTTTTTTCCTTTTAAGCCATTCCGGGGTATGCAGTGGTATCTCATTATAGTTTTAACTTATTTTCCTGATGACTAATTGAGCACTTTTTGTGTGTTTATTAGCCATTCAGATTACCTCTTTTGTGAAATGCTTGTTAAAGTGTTTCACTCATTTTTAAATTAGGTTGCCTGTTTTTTTCTTATTGACCTATAGGAGTTCTTTATAAGTAAATATCTTCTCTCACTCTCAGTTGCCTTTCATTCTCTTAATAGTTTCTTCTGATGAATGAAAAAATTTTAATTTCAATGATAAATTCAATTGATCAGTCTTGTCCTTTATTGTTAATACTTTTTTTTGGTGAGGAAGATCAGCCCTGAGCTAACATCTGATGCCAATCCTCCTCTTTTTTTTGCTGAGGAAGATTGGCCCTGAGCTAACATCTGTGCCCATCTTCCTAATGTTAATACTTTTTGTGTACTTGTCAAGAAATCTTGGTAGGGGCTGGCTCAGTGGCATAGCGGTTAAGTGCGCATGCTCTGCTGTGGTGGCCCAGGGTTCGGATCCGGGGCGTGCACCGACACACCACTTGTCAAGCCACACTGTGGCGGCGTCCCATATAAAAGTGGAGGAAGATGAGCACGGATGTTAGCCCAGGGCCAGTCTTCTTCAGCAAATAAAAAGAGGACGATTGGCGTGGATGTTAGCTCAGGGCTGATCTTCCTCACAAAAGAAAAAAAGAGAAATCTTGGCAGGCCCCAAGGTCATGAAGTTATTCTGCTCCGTTATTAGCTAGAAGTCTTATCGTTTGACCTTGCTTTTTTTTTTTATTGAGGTCATAATGGTTTATAACATTGTGTAATTTCAGGTGTACATTATTATATATCAGTTTCTACATAGCCTGCCGCATGCTCACCACCAATAGTCTAGTTATTATCCGTCACCATATGTATGTGACCTTTTACCCCATTCGCCCACTTGCTTCCCCTCTGGTAACCACTAATCTGTTGTCCTTATCCATGTGTTTGTTTATCTTCCACATATGAGTGAAACCATACAGTGTTTGTCTTTCTCTGTCTGGCTTATTTTGCTTAACACAATACCCTCAAGTTCCATCCATGTTGTTGCAAATGGGACAATTTTGTCTTTTTTTATGGCTGAGTAGTATTCCATTGTCTATGTATACCACATCTTCTTTATCCATTCATCTGTTGATGGGCACTTGGGTTGCTTCCACGTCTTGGCTATTATGAATAATGCTTCAGTGAGCATAGAGGTGCATAGATCTCTTTGTATTGTTGATTTCTTGTTCTTTGGATAAATACCCAGTAGTGGGATAGCTGGATTGTATGGTATTTTTATTTTTAATTTTTTGAGAAATCTCCATACTGTTTTCCATAGCGGCAGTACCACTTTACATTCCCACCAGAAGTGTATGAGCTTTCCCTTTCTTCCACATCCTCTCCAGCACTTGTTATTTCTCGTCTTGTTAATTATAGCCATTCTGACGGGTGTGAGGTGATATCTCATTGTAGTTTTGATTTGCATTTCCCTAATAATTAGTGACATTGAACATCTTTTCATGTGCCTGTTGGCTATCTGTATATCTTTTTTGGAACAATGTCCATTCATATCCTCTGCCCATTTTTTTTTTTTTTTTTTTGAGGAAGACTCGCCCTGAGCTAACATCTGTTGCCAATCTTCCTCTTTTTGCTTGAGGAAGATTCACCCTGAGCTAACATCCGTGCCAGTCTTCCTCCAGTTTGTATGTGGGTCGCTGCCACAGCATGGCTACCAATGAGTGGTGTAGGTCCACACGCAGGAACCAAACCCAGGCCACCAAAGCAGGTCACGCTGAACTTAACCACTAGGCCTCAGGCCAGCCCCTCCTCTGCCAGTTTTTTAATCGTGTTGTTTGTCTTTTTGTTGTTGAGTTGTATGAGTTCTTTAAATATTTTGAAGATTAACCCCTTGTCAGATATATGATTTGCAAATGTTTTCTCCCAGTTGCTGGGTTGTCTTTTTGTTTTGTTCATGGTTTCCTTTGCCTTGCAGAAGATTTTTAGTCTGATGTAGTCCCATTTTTTAATTTTTTCTTTTGTTTCCCTTGCCTGAGAGGACATGATATTTGAAAAGATGCTACCAACACCAGTGTCAAAGAGTGTATTGTCTATATTTTCTTCTAGAAGTTTTATGGTTTCAGGTCTTGCATTTAAGTCTTTAATCCATTTTGAGTTAATTTTGTGTGTGTGTGTGTGTGTTTGGGGGAAGAGGTGGATTTATTTATTTCTTTATTTATTTTAAATTTTTTGTTTATTGCAGTAACATTGGTTTATAACATTGTATAAATTTCAGGTGTACATCATTATATTTCTATTTCTGCATAGATTACATCATGTTCACCACCCAAATACTAATTACAGT